CCGTAAGCGAGCCGGTCTAACACGCGGGGTCTATCGGTAACGAATAAACAGAGCGATAACGAGCGAAGGGCGATATTTAAACACGAGTTCTTCTTATCGCGCGGAATAAAGGGGTGAGGTTACGCGCTAAGCTATGTGCGCTTAAAAATTCTTCTCACGGAGATTGTTTGAAATCAAGGCGATGTTAAATTATGCATAGGCTCATCCCCTATTCGAAGCCGCTTCGCGCGTTCACCCCCGACGCGGCGTACATACATCGCTGATACGTAGAATTATTGAGAGCGAAACTCCTAACACGTGTTCCAGCGGCGATACATATGTAAACGGCCGGAATAACTTTTTTAACTCCTTCGCGTTGATTTTCGCAATACACCGTCGTCAAGCTCGGGCCGAGAAACTTTTCCCCTTCGAATAGGGAGGCTGTGATGACAATATCGATAGTAATATTGAAACGGATATCTAATCAAGAGTATCGGCGAAACGTAAGGTTGCATGTTACAATAATATTCATGAATGATATGTATCAAAAAGATATGATATCTTGAAGATCGACTGAGTAACTAAAAACTGAGAAAAACTAAAAACTAAAAAGAAATATGGAAAATATATCGAAACAAAGTAGTACTGATATGAGTATGAATATCGATACAAAAATCTGTTGTTTTTGGTATTGAAAGAAAAATATGGATATCGGTATTATATCACAACATTCCTATCTTCGACCTCCGATATTAAAATTTATCAATTTTAATATCGCTAAAACACGAAAAATACACAAAAAAAAACAACATTTTCGGCGATCGAGTGAGATTTTTGTCGAGTCCGAGAAGATTTCCCGAGCTCGCCGTTTTTGAAATCGCGTTCCTCGCGGCCGCAAACGTGTTGTACGTGGTGAAAAGAAAAAAAGAGGGGGAAGAGGAAAAGAGAAAAAATGCGAAAACTGTTGTTGAAAAATCGCAACGGGAGCGTTCGAAACTTGCGGCAGCTCCGCTGATGTTGCTTTTGCAGCTTGGCACCAAACGCGTTAAAAGTTCTAACGTTCGCACCTCGAACGGGCGTGTTCGATGTAGATAGTTTTGCAACGTGTCGAAAGTTCCGGCACACTCTCTTACCAGCCTTACGGGAAGTCGATCATCGTTACACCGCCGATATCCAAGTTCCGATAAACGACAAGCGACGCTACGTTTTCTACGTTTTTCAATCCGCTACGCGGGCGAAAAGTAATCGCGGCTAACGCCAATTAATCCCGTCGATCCGGGAACGTCGATCATACCTGTCGGCACGTGGAAGCACCCCAGCAGCGCATTTCCACTTCGAAGAACGTACTATCGGCGTCTGACAACTCGAGTAAACCTATCCGGGCGATTCACGAGAATAATTCGAATCTCTCTATTATCCATTATTCGCTTTGCTGCGAAAGTTTCGTCGCGTATGTCAGATAAAATTGCAAACGAGATTCGAGGTGGATCATTTTTGCAAATGAAGTAAATAATACCCGCATAGAAATTTCCTCAAATTTTCCCATGCACAGCATAGCTTCCGATTAGAATGCCAAACGTTGTCCCAAAATAGATCATTCCACTACGATGCCAATTGGGAATTCCATTCTTATTCCGAACATGTAATGTAGCCTCCTTACCGCGATACTGATTGCCTGCGCGCTATAATATGCCACTGTCATCGTCAGAGTCGAGTGACAGTTTGACCGAATATGAGATTAGGTGATCAATAAATGAGATCACATTCTCAATGTTACCATGTTCAAAAGTGCGCACATAGCGTGTGTGTATGTATTTGTAAAGTATAAATATTTAAAGCGTTTCGTATATTTTATTCAATCGGAATGTAAATTGTAAACCAGCGAAATCTTTGGAAAAACATCGGAGGTGACCAAATAGAATCTATTTGTTTCCCATTTGCAAATATGGGAGCGATTTAGAGTTCTAAAACTCACTATTTTTTTATTTTTTCGAAAATTTACTTTTCTCACTATTTTAGCGAGAAAAGTGAATTTCATTCCTGAAAAAGAAATAAAAATAATCGCTCAGTCTTTAAAAAACGTAAGTAAAAAGCGAGTAATTTTTAAATAATTTGTTTTTAAAAATTAAATTTTAAAAAAATTAAAGTTTTCAAAAATTAAATGGTTTATCTTATTCCACCCCTCTAAGAAATTAAAAACTTATCATGAAAGTTAACTTTACAATAAACATGAATTTTTGTGATCGAGTTTTTTCCGAAAGAGCTCTAATCGAGGAAAAAATGGGAAAAGTAAGTTTTTTCTTAAAAATGGGAAAAGTGAATCGTTCCCATGCCTTCACTTGGAACTGTATGCTTGAAATATTACACTTCTAAACAGACTTGCGTAAATTTTCAAACTGAAATCTATAATTACTTCAGGAAATAAAAGTGGATCGATATTTTCTATGCTGATACCAACTCGGTATCTTTTTTCAAACATTCAGTGCGCGAGAGTTCTCTCTCTCTCTCTCTCTTTCTCTTCCGTATTTTCTTTTTAATAATCAAATCAATAATTTTCTACGATTTAATAAAAAAAAAACGACGAATCCTTCGCGCCAATCTATTAATCGAATCGACTGCCACATTCAAAATATAGAACGCACTCATACATGGTAAAGGTTGCGTGCGTATACTTATGAATAATACACACACACACATACACACACGTAGGGAAAGAAACGCGGATACCTGCCGTGTGTACGTAACTCATGCATACGCGTCGTAATACTACATCACAGTGGATTTCAACTCTACTTCACTAGCGTAAAACAAACCTCGCGGAATTGCGAAACCAAGCAGCTCCGTGTCATCTTTGAAACTGACTGCCTGGTACGTGCGACGAAAATTCATGCAGAGTGTAGTAACTATAGCCGCGTCTCCGGCGAACAAGCCAGCGAGGAGAATTCAGGTAGATAGCACGGTGAAACTTCCGGTCAGAAGTTACGCCCGTCGCCGAGACTTCGTGGAAACTTACTCTCACCTTGAGAAGCGTAAAGAGAGGGGGGGGGGGGNAGAATGGGAAGGATGAGCGAAAGTAAGAAAGGGAGATTACAGTCCGAGCAAGGAAGTGGCCGCGGTTCGATAAATAGTCTACCATTAATACAGTCTCTGGATAAATTTGAACAGCGCCAGCTTTGTCTACCTGCAGCTGCATGACGACCCGCGCATTGAAATTTCACGTGCACGGCGGACTACTCGAGGGCGCTCGAATAAATGCGCGATGATTTGTATCTTTCAACTGACTTCGATACGTCGGCTTAAACGGTTCCAGTCGTAATTCATTCCGCGGAAAGCTATCCATTCCTGTTGCTGGGGATTGCTTCGGAAAGAAGAGTGCCAGTTTTTGCGGGATTTTGGACTAGGTTTTAGAAGGACGGTACATGGCTCACAAATTTTCGGAAGTTTCTGGTGGACTGTGACGAAAATTGTTCGAGATTGTTTATTGCAACGCTTACTTGAATTTCTACTATAAAATCAAGGTGTGTCTATTGTAGACAAGTATTTTTTTTCAATGGTATCTCGAGGATCCGTAGTTTCCGTTTCTTAAAAAGGGAGATCTAAGATGTAACGCAATTATGAAAATGGCGACTTTTGGACATTTCTTGCCTTTTATTTTTCTAAGGCATTGCATCTGAACTATTCAGACAAGTGTCTAGAAAATATTTTTTTAGACATCTTTAAAATGTGTTTTACACGCTCGTATTGTTCGGGCTATCACAGAGACAATTTGCTTCAGTAATCCCGAAATAGCCCCTTAAGTACATAATATGGCATTGTGGTGCTCCAACTTCCATTCGAGCTCTCTTCTAGTCTAGCTCTATAAATTGTAGGTGAGTTGCCCAAGTTAGCATTCTAATAATTCCTCTCGCGCTGGTAGCTGCGGCATCTCTGTGTATCTTGAAAATTCGTATGCCGCACGACGGAGAATAGTAATGTACCCTGAGGCTAATTGCAAAAAAGCCCGAGGCGATGGAACAACATTAATTAAGATAATAAAATATACAAAACGAACGGCCCTTTAATGTTGACCATTTTTATTCCACCAATGTTCGTATACATTACTCTGACATATTTCTGCTCGTCCAACACGCGAAAACTTTTTATATATTAATAAATTGATATATCTTCCGTCTTTTCTGTCTGATAACTAATTTGAATTCAATATAATGTTAACACAATATATTCACAACTGCACAATCACATTTTAACATACTTATTACTACATAAACCAGAAATATACTTAACGTTCAATGACATCGATGTACACTGAAAGAAAAGAGCGCTACATTCAAATAAATATTTGCTAAGGATTGTTGGAATAATTATTTTAATTTCATTGAGCAACTATTAAAATGTTAAAATGTGTATAATATAGAATTAAAGGATAAAGGATAAATGTATAGATAACGGAAATACCGAGGTGTAAGAAACGTTATGGTCCAACTTAAAATCGAGGTGGAAGGCACGAACCTCCGTAAACAATAAGCCATACGTGTAAGTAGTGAACTAATAAGCGAGCAATGAAGTAACTTTCTCGGCAAACTTTAATCTCTTCCAGTGTACTCTGTAACTTCCTCGTCTCATTGATGAGACGTGGAAGTTTCATCGCCCGCTACCGGGGATATTTTCCAGAGCTTCCAATGCTCTCAGACAGTACACTTCGCGCACATTTCAACCTCCATCTCGAATAACATTGTTGAACACGCACGATCTAAAGTTACGGAGAAATGGTAATGATAGTGATAACATTTCAACCATGTGATGTAAGCGATTAAAGTTTAACATTATATAAATCATCTTATCACCATGTGTTGTTGTCAATAGTAATTAAAAAAAAATATCAGCTAGATTAGTTCAATCTCGCTGTGTGATTAATTCATTTGCTCGACTATTTATATACAAATCTGCTTAATTGAACGTTAAATAAATGATACATACTGGCATTAAAAATAAAATTTATCAATGCTGTATTGAAGAAAATTTTTTAATTCTCATTTTTTTTAATTCTCAATTATAGAGAATTATTAATTTAGAAACTAGGTAATTTTGTTTTCAGTTTTATTGGACAAATACGAAAAGCTGTCTACCTCGTACCGATATAACATAAAAATCAAACAACGAATGATATAATTTCAATAATATATGATAGGCACTTCCGCCGTTAATAAAACTAAAGCACTTTTATCTTTGTAACGTTCATAATTTTCAATTATTCTGCTCAATTTACCATTAATATATCCCAAGATAACGGGATGAAAGTAGAAGTTCCGTATAAACTGCAGTCAAGATTAATTACACCCTCTCTCCATAGTATATATAATTCTATGAGCTCACTTGATTATTTACGCTCTCAGCATCTCATCTCATAAAGTAAGGCAATTCAAAGTGCTAAATCATAATTAACGACATAGTCAAAGTGCAAAATGTTTAACGGTATCATCTGTCAGATACGGGGCAACCATGAACTATCGAAGAATGTCTTTCCATAGATATTACAAGAAATTTTTACTGGACATTCCTTTTCCAAAATTTTATGAAAGACGTCATTTATCAGTAGTTTTCAAAGCTTTCACCACTAAATATCTTCGTAGTAAAATCCCAAATTAATTTCTGATAGGTGAGAATCCAATTAATCAAAAAGTAAATTCTATTATTTATTTGTACTCTCCTCAAGACTTTATTCGTCAAATCACCGTTCAATTTGTGATGATCGATCTTCAAAATATTGTATTTTGTTGCTCGTGATATTCTTTGTCTATCATAGTGTGCTGTTATTATCGGCAATTGTAACAAAAACATGTTAAAGAAAGGTAAAGAAAAGATACACATTTTTCAATCATTACAATTAGTATCGATATTTGCATTTGTAAATATTTATATGAACCGAGTATATAATTTACTTCAGCACTGGCAACATTTATTTCATAATTGAGGCATTAGCGAATCACAACAACATAATAATTTATAGTTGTATTTTTGTTCGTGTGCGTGTATTATATGAACAGATTAATCTTTTATTATATTTACATCATATGTTACATAAAAATACAACTATAAATTATTGTATTGCAATTTATAACAGTCTCAATTATGAGGTAAATGCTATCAATGTTGAAGATAATTATGTGTATATGTATATATATATACACATTATATACACGCTCTCACGATTAAATATATAAACTTCAATCGGTTATATCATCAAAATTACATGGTCGATACAGTCGAAGGTAAATCGTTTTAACTTTTGAAACAACCGCTCTTACATCGTATTTTTGGTAAGAAAGAATTGATTTATTAAACACATGTGCATATAATAAGTGATAGAAAAAGTCAGTATATATTATCGTAGAATAGAAAACATTTTTAGTCAATCGACGTCTAAACTTTTATGAACATCATTATCATTAAGAACAAACAACATCGAAAAACGACGATGTTATAAAAGAGAATTTTCATAGAAAAGGACAACTCATTCAAGTTTTCGGAAACAACGGATAACTGTCCGTACAAGACGAGATTCAACATTGTATAAGTATACTAATTGAGTGTCGGTGAGCTCCCCAAAGCCGGAGAATGCTTTCATCCGAGAGTAAGATATGATGGAAGACATTTAGTATGTGCAGTAATAACGTGGTAATAAGAAATTTTGAAAGTCTACGCGACGAAAGTGTGTGGTAAAATTGACATTCGTTTCGCCAATTGAAATATTAGTTTCGATTATATATTTCTTTTTTTCATCTGACGTATATATATATATATATATATATATATATATATCAACAAACAAAGTAGTTTAGATAACTACATGTACTGGCACTGTCAGCAGTAGCAGAAGCTACTAGGCGGTGGGGCATCGTTCTCATGACATTTTAAAACTTTTTGGTGCGGTAACACCATCTTATCCACCGTAGTTTCCATTCTGCGCATTACACAGTCTAATAATAAGTCCACAGCGAGCTCGACATTTTCCCCGGTTGCAGCACTCGTCTCCAAATAGACCAAGCTAAAAAAGAAATATTTTGATTTAAGTATAAATATAATATTTTCATAAAGAGGAGAAGAAACATATAAAAAGCAAAAAAAAATATATACACAGTCGGCATGGCAAAAAGCTTACAAATAGATTTTCTTTTTTATACAACAACACGCGCGTTCTTACTGCTTCCGATTCTACTTACCCATGTTTTTTGGCGAGATCTAGCGCTTTGTTCTTGCTGACGACGCGTCTATCCTCAAGATCGGACTTGTTGCCGCAGAGAATTATGTCTGGATCATCGCAATACGCGTGTGTCTACATGTACGCAGGCATAAGAATACGGCACGTTAGTTCAATGAATACAAAAATTGCCGAAAGAAATATCAGACTACAAGATTCCATGCGAGACAAAATGTATTTCGAATGATTGTAAAGCCCGATTATTTTTAGGATTCAAGAATGTCCAAGCACCGGTTAAAAAAGGATGTCTTGCAGTCCAATAATATGAAATACCCCCTAATTTTTCAATCGAACGATAACTTGAGCCGTAAGAAATTGGAGAGTATGTATGTACTTACCGTTAAAAATACAAACATATCTACGAATATTTAATAAAACATCGCTGAAGCTTACGAATGTCTTCATGCGCTAAATTGTTATAGTTTTACATTGAATTTATACAAAAAAAAAAACAAGAAAGAGAAATATAAAAGTACAAAATAAAAAAGTAATTACCTCTTGCAAACAATTTCTGAATACATTTGACATATTTTTTACATCAATGTTATCAGAATATATAAATACTTGTAGAGTTTCAATAGATAATACGATTTTTGCTTTTCTCTATATATATCTATATTTAAAGAGTAATTATTTCAATTTTATTGGATGCAAATCAATGTTGACAGACTGTTGTTTAAAAAAAATGCCCTAATCTTATTAAACTGTGTGAAAATTTGTAAATATCCTAGTAATTTTTGCAAACATAACAATAAATGTCCAATTAGTAAAGACAATATATGTCAAATTAGTAAAGTCCAATTAGTAAAGACAATACATGTCAAATTAACGAAGGCTAAACAGACCAAACGCAACATTTGTCTAAAATACCGCACGCATCAATGCCAATCCACATGCTTTATCCTACCTTCAAAGTCATGCATAAACAATACAATTAATAATAAGTACATTCACAGATATCACATTATCATTAGAGAATATTGTGGCAGCTGAAGAATCGCTAACAGCACGTCAACTCAAAGAATCGTTCGATTAGGACGATCTCTCACTGATCTTGTATGATATTTACAATAATGCTAATAAATGACGAATACCCTAAGATGCTCCAGCCAGTTTCTAACTTCAAGGAACGACAGCTCATTGGTCAGGTCAAAAATTAGTAGGAAACCCATGGAATCCCGGTAAAAGGCTGTGGTTAAACTTCTGAACCTGGATATCAACAACGTTAAGCTACTCGCGTGGAATGTTAGATCAGTGGTCCTAAGCCTCTATTTGCACATGCAGGATGCAACATTGTACTAATTGGAAGATCCATCACTTGTATCATGTGTATATATATATATATATATATATATATCTTTATGCTTGCTTCTTTTCGGTATCGCAATGCACTTTCACACACGCAAGCTTTCGCAGCGATCTAATTAAATCATCGTTCGAAAATCACAGTGCAAAACTATATTCGCAACATAATTCACTGAGAATTGCATCATTATATCACCTCTATTGTGATCGTGGTAACACAATATAAGTACACAATATTGTCGCATTTGCTATAAATTTAATGCTAGTTCACGGCAGAGTGCAAAGTATGCATATCGAGAATATTGCCTATAATCGCTAAGAGCTGTACGTCTCTTCGAATTCATTGTTTAGCGCACTCACCTTTCCTGGCCAGCTGTGTCCCAAAGCTGCAGGTGCACTCGTCGACTCCTGCCATTGGCTGTACGATATATCTGTAATAACAAATGGCCATTATCTCTTTGTCTGTCGACACAACGCACGGGCGTGTTCAACTCGTTCCTTATGCTAGACGTTTTACCTTGACTCGTAGAGGATAGCGTTGATTATTCGGGGGCTTGCATTATCGCAGCTCTCCCTTCGGGGAGAGCTCCCAACGCTCTTGGGAGCCTACGAGTCTCGAGTAATCAACGCTACCGTGCGGATTATTATACACATTCATCCTCTTACCACTCGTTTCTCCTTGAAATCAATCCCAACAGTGGATATGAATCTGGCACTGAAAGTGCCGTCGGTGTACTGATGGAGGAAGCTCGTCTTGCCGACACCGGAGTCGCCCAGCGCCAGGAACTTTATCAGATAGTCGTAATTTAGATCCATTTTGCGCGCGTAAATGTGGTCCTCGATTTCGCGAGTGCTCCAGTGATGAAGAACTCGGTCGGCTGACGGTACTGTTGACAAGAATATATACTTCCGTGGCGAGTGACGACAATCAGCGCGTCCGCAGGCCCCGCGTTGTCAATTCGTCACGAACGAGAAGCGACAACGTCAACTGACGTCAACTATCGAATGTCTGCGATATTTAATGTAGACACCTGTTGCCTACGTGTGCTACTTTCAAAAGGTCCGCGCCCGAAAGGCAACGTGGAACACCGCCGAACTACCGAGGCTGCGTTAATTATCGTCTGAAGATCACGAACGCGATTGCCCTGCGCGCTCCGTGAGAAAATTGTAATACGTGTCTTTGCGAGAAACTAAAGAGAAGACTGAGAACGCCGTGTGTTTAAAGCCGGTTTACAGTAATCGAGCAGTCGCAAGGTCGCAAGGAATCGACCAATCACAGTCAATTGTTTTCCTTGCGATCGGAAATATTTCACCTTGATTGGTCGATTTCTTACGGATCTGAAATAAATTGATTGTTTATGGCTTGCATAAATGCTTTATACCGTGAATATGACTATAGCGTGAATATGAAGCTTTTTTATCGGGTACATATTATCTAAGTTATCTTCTATTTTATTCTATTTTATTAGGTACTTATATTCTAAGTTATCTGCTAAGATAATATGTAGCCAATAAAAAAGTTTCGTAAAACACTATGTTCCTTGCTAGAAAGCACCCATATTCTTGGAATTCCCTATAAATCATTTGGTGTAAGTGTAGAAAGTGCAAGTAAAACGAAGAAACCTGTTTTGCACCGGCCATGTACGCGTCGACATTGCGCTTGATAGCGGACTGCATTGCATGTGTGTGAAGAAAAATATTGATGAAATATTATAATTGTCGTAGATACCACGTATAAAGTATACAAAACTATTGCACAATGGCGAGCACGAGCGACAAAGAGGACGTACAAATTTGTTTCACCACGAAACAAGCACAGTAAGTTTTCATCCTTTCCTTCGTCTGATTCGACGTTCATTCACTGAGACTTCTTTTAATCTTCTTCTTTACCGTGGTGGCTAATAGATGCCCCAATTGTTTTCCATACGTCAGTATCTCGATGCGTGTGGGATTTAGTACATGTAACATCCTCAAAAATTGATTCTTAGTTTACATATTGAATTTGATATAATATCTTATATCATAATTCTGGATCCTTCTAGGATAACATGTAGACTTAAAGACTACAAGTTGTCACTTTATGTACAAAATATTATAATGTGTGATTTAATACAATTCTAGATACGCCGTACCGGATTATACTCTATTGGTGCAGTCTTCGATAGATACAAATGGATTAAATACTCTTGTGTATGAACTTCTGAAAGGTAAACGTTTTGATAAGATCTTTAAATTGTCCTTTTTTCGCTATTTACTTTTTATATTATTGATATGTATAACTTGCTTACATTTATGTATTGATAATTAAAAACATTAAGATGTAATAAATATATTTAATTTGCAGAGTCAAATGTTAAGCAAAGCAAAATACAGTTTGACTTCATAATAGCCTCTGAATTACTGCGTACTTCCTTGTTGGAACATATCGCTAAAAAAAATGTTGCTACTGAAGATATCATAGAAGTACAATATGTGGAGAAATATCCTCCACCTGAGCACAAAAATTGTATCACACAGGACGACTGGATATCAGCTGTTGCTGTTTATGGAAAATGGTTGGTTTGCTCTACAATCATAAGAATTAAGAGAATTGGAGTTACTCATATTACATTGAATTGTTTTATTGTACAATTATGCATAATTGAGGAGCTTATTTTTAAAATGTCTCAAACCTGTAGTTCTAAAAAAGATATTTATTATAAATTGTATTTAAAACTTGAGAATTGTGTGTAAATATTATAAAAATCTTGAAGATTATACAATTCAGAAATAAGCTCGTCAATTATAACATTAATAATTATTTATATTATAAATATTTCAAATGGTTTTATTAAGGATCTTAACCGGTTCCTATGACAACACTCTGCACATCTGGACGACGAAGGGTGAACATTTGCTGGTAATTCGTGGACATGAGGCTGCCGTCAAAGCAGTAGCGTGGCTGTCCGTTTACGACGACGAGGCCTCTTTCGTCAGGTAGCTTTAAGAACGACAGTATCAGTTTCGTTGAATGTAGTGTAGTTAATACTAATTGACTTCACATGCATCTTATAGCGCGTCGGCCGATCAGACGGCTATGATATGGCAGTGGAATATCGAGAAGAATTCGGTGAAATGCGTGCATGTTTGCGAAGAACACAAAAGGGGTCTGCTGGCAGTTGGTGCGAATCCCGACAAATCGCTAATAGCCACCGGCGGCTGGGACACGATGCTGAAAATTTGGTCGACATGTAAGCAGATTCATTTGAGTCAATTTGAAATTTATTCTGTAAGATTTTTTTAATTTAAACCTTCACGAAATTTCCTCTCAAGCTATGCAGGATGAAACAGAGGATGGGGAATCCGCGTCGAAGATGATAAAAGCGAAGCAGAGTAAAACGAAGGTACGTAAGTCAAAACTCGCAAATTTACATATACGATCAAGGTTCATCTACACAAGAATAATAATCAATCTGAACGATGCAGCTCCCACAATGCACTTTGATGGGGAACATTGAGACAATCACGGGCATCGTGTGGTCCGATAAGACGACCATCATCACGTCGTCCTGGGACCACACTCTGAGGATCTGGGATTCCGAGCTGCGCGGCATCAAGGACGAGTGCTTGGGCAATGAGCCCTTCTTGGACGTCGACTACTCACCGCTGACACGCACCATAATAGCACCGTCGTCCGATAATTTCATAAAGCTATTCGACCCAAGGTCTTCAGGTATTTGATGCTTTGACGCGTTTTGTTAGACATCTTTCCAACGGTTTTCGATGTTGCAAAATAAGAAACGAAGAGATTCACTTGCATTTTTATTCAGTCTTTTTGTTCCTTATCTTATAAACCTCAATTAAATCGAACCTTCTTACACTGTTTAGTATATGTATGTTCTTCAGTTTTCCATTTAGAGAAGATTAATACCACTTGATAATTAACAATTCTTTTAACTTTCGCAGTCTTTGAGGACCGTTTCGAATCTATTTGGATAATTGTATGTTTTTTCAGAGAGTATGTACCCGAAGACGGTGTTCAAATCTCATACACAGTGGGCGCAGTGCGTGCGCTGGTCAACCGTGAACGAGTATCTCTTCGTTTCGGGAGGGTACGATGACTTAGTCAAGCTCTGGGACACCAGAAGGTTAGTTGATCGCTCGGTCACGTCGAGATTTCTTCGATTCAGCAGCGGAATGTGGACTTTAAGGGTGGTATTCACAGTCAGATCTTATATCTAAGATCGTCTGAAGTTCATCTTCAGATGCTGTATGGCTCGTTTCATTGGCTACAGAACATCTGAAGATGAACCTAAGACAACCTTAAATATAAAATTGGAGTATGAATATCACTTAACAGTCGCAATTTTATCAAATAACTCTAGTAATTTTCCTGCTATTTAACACAGCCTTTGAAACTGCTATATCTATGCTGTTATTAAGTAGAAAATGATATATATATATATATATATATATATATATATATATTTCTAGTAAATTATAAAAAAATAAAGAAATAAAAAGAATTAATAAGATAAAAAAATAAAATTTATACGCTGAGCTGATGTAAAGTATAAAGTTTAACTTATACAACTGAAAAAGCAAGATTACTAACTTGATGAATTCATATTTTTGGCGACACATCCGACACGTGTTACATGCTAAATATGTAAAGAAAATAAGGAAGTACAATTCTCCAACTGTTCTGATGCATAAAGTTGAGGAACTTTCGTCACAAGATTTTCACAATTTATTAACAAAATATTAATATTGGTTTAATTCCCACGCAGTCCCACAATGCCGCTCTACGATCTCAGAGGACACACGGACAAGGTCCTCTGCTGCGACTGGTCGGAATCTAAGCTGATAATGTCCGGCGGGGCGGACAACACCTTAGAGATATTCAAGACGGAAGCTCGCTAACATCGCGACACGCAATGATGATCGTTGTGTAATGCGGAAACGCGGGAACCCGTGTAGAGTTGTTCGTGCGTATTTCGCATCGGCGAGTGTTATTTAAAATTATTAGAAATGTCTTGTACATTTACTATTATAATAAAATATGTCGTAATATAAAATCCTGTTTCTCAGATTAAAAAAAAAATGAGGTCTTCATTATTCGTTCGGGTCTGACACTATCCGAATATTGTACTCGATTATTCGGACACTGAATGTGACATTTCAAATTCGAGTTATCCGGGAATTCGGATATTCCAAGATTTCCGATCAGTTGAAGCACCGAGGATCCGCATTCGGACCTGCAGCGGAAACAGGTTTGCAGTAATCTAAATCTTTCTCGGAAGAATTTGACAATCAATGAATCAATATGCTTTAACTGTACAATGTACCGAGGCAATTGTGTCTATTTATGTATTTAAATAATTATTACAAATTTTGCTATTAACCTCTTGCCATATCATTTAACTCGGAAGAATCCGGGAGATCCCAAGCGACGCGCCCGAATGGTCGGGAAAGGATTGGGACAAAAGACCCCATTCGAGACATACTTGGCCCGAGATTAAGACCACGAGTTCGACTCGTGATATTCACGTTTGACGTGAAATTAGACCACGAGCCTGATTCGTGATATTCAGGTTTGGCCCAAAATTCTCGTCACGAGTCAAACTCGTCAAAGTATGGCAAGGGGTTAAATCGATCCGTTTTACTTTCTTCTTTTATTTAATTCGGGCCCAAATTCCAATCCAAATTCAATTTTGGATCCGAATCTCTTCTCATGATCTGAATTTGAATCCGAATAACTCGGATTGTCTGGGTCATAAATAGTGCGGTTAATGCGAATAGTGCGGTTAATGCGAATAGTGCGGTTAATGCGAATAGTGCGGTTAATGCGAATAGTGCGGTTTTGAATTAGTCGATATCGACCTCGAATACCCGGAAGCCCCGATAGGAATTCCAATATAGTATCTTGAAAGGAAAAAAATTCGGTCTTCACGCGGAAGGAACTGAGAAGATTATTTGGAGATCCGTGCCTCGAACGGAGAACCATAGAGTTGATAGAGCACCAGCTTTTCTTCTTCCCTCCTTCCCTCTTCCAGTCTGATCCGGGAAGAGCAGCGCCGGATAGGTGAAAAGTAAGTCGTTTCGCTCGCATAAATCCCCAAAACAGATCGTTTATTGATCAAAAATAAGGGACGATAATCGTGAATCCGGGGATTCGCGCTTCCCCGCTTCACCCGAAGTGTATCTTTACCAAACCACTTGTTTTTTTTTACTCGTAAGTAACTCTAAAAAGACCACCGATTCGAGTGCACGCACCTATTAGAGACGACACACAGGGTGTATGCGATAGTACAGGAGCGGCGAAGAGCGTGCACCCTCGCAATAGCGCGCGCGCGGTCTCTTTCTCTACGGTAACCGTGTTGTACGTGTGCAGGTGTGTGTGTGTGTGTGTGTGTGTTAACTGTGATCTATGTGCTCTGTGTGTGTAAAATAAGCGGGCGATCCTTCGGGCAACGCATCGTCGAGTTATCATCACCATCTTTCCAACTTTATACGCACACATCTACGTATACACATGCGACACACACGTACACACGCACATAAACGCGCGCACGCACACTCTTTTAATCTCGCACGTACGCACCGCACGCACGCACACTCTCGTCGGTCTTTTCGCCCTCCTCGCATAATCATTCGTCATCTCGCCGCGCGGTATTCTTTTTTTTTTGTTCTTTTTTCCTCTTTTTCTTCTTTTTTTGTTTCTTTATTTGTTTGTCCGTTTGTTCTCCGAGGACCCTATCTAAAAATCCGGCACATCATCCACATCATTATCGTGATCATCATCATTATCCTCCGCCTCTTCCTTCTCATCATCATCATCATCATCATCATTATCATCGTCGTCATCCTCATCATCATATTCCTCCTCATCGCCGTCATCGTCATCATCATCATCTCTCGCACAAAGACTAGCGTTTTTAAACGATCCAAAATAAACTAAGGGCACTTTTTAGTTAGCGGCTTATGCCCCGTAGTCGCGCGCGTTTTTCATGCGTTTCCCCTTTTACCCTCGAGTTGTTCATCATCTTTTTTTTTTTTCGTTTTTCTCTCCTCTTATTTATTCATGAAAAATCTAATTCTGACTGTTTTTTTTTCTTGTTAAACTTTGTTTTATTACAGCACCTATTCGACTTCCTAAGAGTCTCCCTAGATTTCTTAACTAACTATGACACACTTGTCTTAACGTCTAAGGATTTTTTTTTTCATCATTACATGCTAAAAACGCCTTCTCCTCTCCGCTTGTCTGTCCATTCTGCCTTAAAAGTACTCCGAAATCCTACGATAATTAATCGCACGGATTTTAAAGGGGGGAGAGCGGACAGCGTCCGCGACGACATCGTTTCCCCGTTTCTTCTTTCGCGCTGTTCTCTTTCTTTTGCCCCGGAAAGACGACACACAGCGTGGATACACGGGGGATACGTGTCTCGTATATTTTCTTTCTCGTCCTCTCTCTCTCTCTCTCTCTCTTTCATTCTCTCTCTCACTCTCTCTCTCTCTCTTTCTCTCTCTCGTTCCATCGTAAAGTTACAGGAGTTCCGGCTCGTATCGACACGCAGGACGAGCGGAATACAAATGCAAAAAAGAAAACGAGGAGGATGGAGCGGAGATTCGTCCGGAAGAGGAGGGCGAGAGGGGAGGGAGAAGGAAGTAGTGGAGGAAGAAACCAACGTGTCGTCGAGTAGTTTACAGCTAAACATCGTCGCTTAACAAACGTCGTGTAAAACAATGACTTAAAAACTTGGCGAAACTAAGGACTGTACAAGTCGAAGTACAAGACGATCATCGAGTATCCTCGGATCACCTCGCTTCTTATCGCTATTTCTCGCATACATACACACATACACACATTTTTTTCTACCTCTCGCACTCGCTCGCTTCCTCTTAAGCCGATCTCGACTAACATTATTTACTTAAAAACACCCTATAATTTTTTTTTCTCAATCGCTCGCGCTCTTTTTTTCGTTCGCCTTCTTCCTTCCTTTCTACAATCATCGACGTCAGCCTACGAACTACGATACGTCTAATCTAAAGAGTGCCTAACGCTAGAGCTCTAAAGAAAGCTTATGGAAAGCAATTTTGCCCAGCAGCGGGAACCGTTCGTCTCGTCCGTTGAACGGCTCCACCGTCGTGGTCGCCGGTAACACCGGGCTACGGAAGCTCGCGGGAGCCTCTTCGCGACGAGAGCCCCGTCCCCGTGGATGTGCCCGAGGAGAGAGATGGCGGGACACGCGATTACCACGTCGCGCGATTCGTCGCGTTGTCGATAACAGTCTTACGGGAGGGAGGGGCTCACCCGCTCGCCAAGCGTGTGATTTCGCGTCTTCCGAAAAGAGGAAGAAAGGAAGAACGCGACGACAACTCTCTCTCGGGTGACGGTCGTGCCGACACGACCCGCGGCCGTACACCCGCATTAAGTGCAACGGATTATCCAAACGCAACGATCGATCCAAGAAGCGTTGAATCGCCCCCTGACCGATCTCCTCGTCGAGCGCGCCGAGAACAGCTCTCCCTCTCCCTGGGACGTTGACGCCGGACCTCTGCGATCGGGAAAAGTCTCGCGCCGCGGCAGCTCTCACCCCACGGGCTTCCGCCACCCCCGCGACCCGTCGTGCGACGATTCATTTATACCATTACGGTCGTATAGAAATCCACACCCGGCCAGCCCACGCACCCGACCCGCGGTGCGCAGCAAGCAAATAGTTTCCTTACTATTTATATTATACAAGTAGCTCATATATA